TATCATTCAAGCAAGAGCGAGAGAGTAAGAGTCAGTTAAATATATATAGCATATACTCGGTTGCAGTCAAAAGAGAAAAACTCATGTCGTCGCTTGCTTTGGCTGTGCGCTCAGATATATAGCTATAGTCAACATTTCCACTCCTCTCCTCGTAGGCACACATTCGGTATACCCCAATACCCCTTCTACGTGTCGCCAAAATGTGCGCCTATATGCTCATTTCCACGCGAATCCACTTCTCTTCTTGTAGGCGCACGCTCTTCGATACGAGTCTCGCACTCTCGAAAAATGTGCGCCTTGGTTCGACGGCTGGCCGCGGCGGGTCGCCCCGATCAGTGGAAAAAAGTTGTCTCACGCCGTAGCATTGGCGTTAGCAATCTCTCTACTCATCTCTGACACAATGTTCGTACCCATAGCTCAGTATATACCTTGTAGATTTGAATTGGATGTTGTAAATAATGCAAAATCTGAAAAAATTGTACATTTGTATGCACTCTAGCTCATGTTGAATGTCACATTATTTACGACGCTAGTAGTAAAATTACTTAAACATTTTTACATTGTTACTGAACTATACGAGTTGTTTTGAAAACAGTGTATTTACAGAGTCATCGTCGATTTAGGGAACAAAAAATAACAATTGTAGAATGTACAGCCATTCCAAAAATAATTTTATGCAAAAGTTAAAAACTTGTTGCAATTCTGTAAAGTCAACAACAGTATCAAAATTAAAAAATGGTAATGCGTAGTAATGACTGTATAACCAATACTTACTCACAATTTAAGAGTAAAAATTAATTTTATTTTATTATTTAGTATCTTTAAGACAATTTTTACAAGCAGAACTTACCCGTGGTTATCATTTAGAAAATGATAAAGAACAGTTTGTAGCACGAAGGGAAAAAATTTATTCTTGCATGAAAATACTAAAAGATGTCGAAAAATTTATGACTTATGGATTTTTTCAAGTAAGTTGCTGTTTAGTTACCAATTTTGATTGTACCCATATAGTTATAAATATTTTATTTCATAGTGTGCTGATTCTTTTCTATTTGTTTACACATTTCTTCCTATTAGATTTCTAATAGCGTTTTGGGCTATAATAAAAAAACCCATTGAATTTATATGGTAAGTGAAATTTACGCTGAATTAATTCAAATTTGTGTCATACAAATGTCACATTATTTCAGGAAAAGACCTTGTAAGAAAGTAGATGTTAAGTTTCTGAGACCTGCAGAAACGTGTGATCTTTTGAAAGGATTAATTATTATTATTTGTTCAGTAATAACTTTGAAAGTCGATACATCCATGATGTATCATTTAGTAAAAAGTCAGTCTATCATCAAACTTTACATATTTTACAATATGTTAGAAGTTGGCGACAGGCTTTTCAGTGCTTTTGGTCAAGATACTATTGATGCTCTTTTCTGGACTGCTACTGAACCAAAGTCTAAGAAATATTCTTCTCACTTTTACTATTTTAGAATATTACTTCACTTATGTTTTGCAGTTGGTTATGTCTGTATCCTTTTTATACACCAACTGAATGAAATACATTTTATAATTATATTGGAAGTATTGACTTAAAAATATTTAGTATTGCACAGTATTTTGGTATTATTTCAAGCAACTACATTGAATGTTGCAATAAATAGTAATAACAAAGCTCTTTTGACTATCATGATGTCTAATAATGTATGTAATGTTACACAATAAGATTTTTTTTAATGCCCATTTTTTAAAGCAATAATTTTTTCAGTTTGTTGAGTTAAAGGGTTCTGTATTTAAAAAGTTTGATAAAAACAATTTTTTTCAACTATCTTGTAGTGATGTAAGAGAGCGTTTTCACCTAACAATGTTACTCCTGGCTGTGACAATGCAAACTATGAAAGAATATGCTTGGCATCTAGACCGATTATTTATACTTCTTCCAGACTGTACTTTACTATTATTAGCGGAAATTCTCATAGATTGGGTATGATTTTATCTCACATGTCATGATTAATTCCAATTTTAATTTAATTTTAAGTTCTTAATACAGGTAAAACATGCTTTTATTACAAGGTTCAACGAATTGAGTCCAACTATCTACAAAGAATACATTGTCAGTTTGGCCTATGATGTTGCACAAACTAGACAAGAAACAGCTTTTTCTGACTCATCGGATGTTATAGCCAGACGCATGAGTTTTATTCCTCTTCCTTTGGGAGTAGCAATAGCTCGAGTTCTTTTTACAACTTTGACTGTAGGGACAAAACCAATTAATTTACTGCTTTTAATCTTAGGATACTTTATTCTTGTGTCCTTGAGAATTCTTATTAGCTTGTTAATTTTGGGTTATACATGTACTTCCATTAGTAATTACACACAATTAAATGTGCATACAAAGAATACAGTTGATACGGCTTATTCAAAAAAACCATTGGAAGCACTATTGACAAACAGTTCTGTTTATAATAAAAGTTCAGACCCAAACGTAAAGAGTGCGCTCTTGCATGGAACGAGTTTCAAAGGTAAAACAGAAAAAATTTTGATATCAAAAAACAGATATTTTCGGCCATCATCAGAAAATTTGCTTTCTAAAAATTTGTTTCGAGTCGGAAGCGAGCCCCTACTGAACAGCCATCTTATTTAGTATCAAAATCAATTACAATTAATTAGTTACTAAAAAAAAAAAAGTGGTTTCAAAAATAATCATTATGAAATGTATAATTTATCCTATGTAAATTTGTCTTCGAAGGAAGGTAGCCTATGTTACCCCACTACCAAAAAGTATGTACTATTATTATTGTATGCAGTTAAATAAAAATTATTAAAAACATTTCATAGCCTATTCATTGGCATTTGCACCTGCTATTCCGAGTACAATTTGGCTATTGCTGATAAACTTGCAACCTGTTAACAATTTGTTGTATGATTTTATACGATTACAGTGCTTCATGGACTATTTGTATTAGAGATATAATTATTTAAGATTAATCATTAGAAGTCTTGTATTTACTTATAATAAATAAAAATTAATAAAAGTAATAAATAGTAAATAAGTCATAACGCACTACCTTTCCTTTTTTTCTAATGGGATTGAGATGTTTTTAATACTACTACACAAAGTAAATACATAGGTACATATTTATACACATATTTAACAATTTCAAAAGTACTGTTCATGAATATACAAGACTCATAACAGCGACAATAATAATTTTTAAGAAGCATCGATCAAATACTGTGTTTTTGTTCTCAGACTCAAATTTTTGAATTGTTTTTACTAAGAACATTATAGGTACCTGCTTAACTACTCTCTTCAAATACACCTATGTGTATAATCATAAAAATTGTTTTCATTAATGGAAACGGTGAATATTCGTAGGAAGCGCAAGCGGTAAAAGTTGTGTGATGTATAGCATATTTATTGAAGATAGTTTGCGCATCACTATTCTGCCCTAAGAATGTTGTTAACACTGCTTGTAATAAGAATAAAAATCAAAATTTCTTATCAAATATATTTTTAGATTCTTAAAGAAAATGGTATTCTGGTTTTATTTTAAATAATCTCACATTCACGAGTTTTCCTTGAAAAAGCAGAGAAATCATATTTTGACCTCATGTACACGGAATAATAAATAACCGAAATTTTTACCGAGAAAGCAAGTGTAAAAGTGTGGCACTGTGACTGTGACTATACTTTTTACCGTAGTTCAAAATTTGTCTTGAAAAGACTATAACTTTTACCGTAAAGCAACTGTAATTTTTACTCAGCTGTTAAGGTAAAGCTAGGGTCACATGGTACCAAGGAGAAACTATAATACAGAGCAGATGTCAGCTGTAGCTGCTTAACCTCCCTCCTAAAAAATCTCACCCGAGATCTCATCTGATATCTCATGTGATTTCTCACCTGAGATCTCAGGTGAGATTTCACGTCAAATTTTCATCTGAGATCTCAGGTGAGATTTCTGAAAGAAAAATAAATAGAAAAATTTTGTGCAACAATCATAATTGATACATTTATAGAATGATTACCTAAAATATCAACAGTTAAGTATAGGAAAAAAAAAAAAAAAAACTCGGCTAATACGGGACACGAACTCGAGCCCTCAGTTTATCAGGCAGGCATCTTACCGTTTGGCCAGAGTGAATGAGATATAAGTACTAGTGTGATAATTTATGAAGTGTAAGTACCGTGTGTTATTGTTTTTCTTATTCACTACTAAATTATACTATTATTAATAGATATAATTTTTCTCAATCTAATTCTTGTGAATAAATTATTTTTAAAAAATCCAAATTGCTTTCATGTATATTATCTTATTTTGAAAAACACTTACAAAAGTTGAAGATCCTTAAAGCTATTCATGTTATTCCAACTTTTAAAACTTTTTATACTCCTTAAAGAATTTCAGATAGAGTAATTACTGTAAATTTTTTGATACAATACATGTGTAATGAGTTAGGTGCAATTGTTTATACGAAACTGTAGGTTTTCACTCGTTTCTTGCGTTTTCGGAAAATAATTACATTTAACTCACTAAACATAAATTATATCAACAAATTTTCAGTGATGACTTCATCTGTAATTATTTACGGAGTATAATAAACTTTGAAAAGTTGAAATAACATGAATAGCTTTAAGAATTTCCAACTTTTACAAGAGTTATTTCAAAATAAGATTATATACATGCAAGCAATTTGGATTTTTTAAAAATAATTTATTCACAACACATCAAGTCCCCCTGTTTTGTAATGTAGTTTTTCTTTATCATTACATTTAAACAAACATTTATAATGAATATTAAAAACTCATGCCTTACTTGGATATAAAGCCCCCTCAAGAATAACTTTAAGAGAGAAAATATTGTTTGTGAAGAAAATAATGTTCCTGAATATTATCTAGTTGGTTAACTATCAGAATTAAGATTGGGAAAAATTATATCTATTAATAATTGTATGATTCAGTTATGAATAAAAAAAACAATATCACATGGTACTTACACTTTATATAGACATAAATTGTCGGACTAGTATCTCATCCACTCTGGCCAAGCAGTAAGATGCTTGCCTCTTAAACTGGGGGCTCGAATTCATGTCCCATATTAGCCGAATTTTCTTTTTTTTTTCTATAATTCTTGATATTTTAGGTAATCATTCTATTGATGTATTAATTATAATCATCGCACACAATGTTTTTATTTATTTTTCTTTCAAAAATCTTACCTGAGATCTCAGATGAGAATTTGGCATGAGATCTCACCTGAGATCTCAGGTGAGAAATCACATGAGAAAGCAGATGAGATCTCGGGTGAGATTTGTCAGGAGGGTTACAAGTTGACACGTCTTTTATGTGTATACAAGCGATGTGAATAACTGTTGTTGGAGTTATTTTTCATTCTTATGCTTTTCATGTACGCGCAGAGTGGTGTGTGTGTAGAGACTGGTGTGTGTATGCGAGTCTTTCGTTTCTGCTTGCCTTGGCGCGTCGTGCGCAGGTGGGCTCATTTCGCCTTTAACCGCCAAGCCGAGTGTTGCTCTCTGAGTGTAATTTTTATTATTTGCTAACCAATAAACCAGTTTGGATCCAAAGATTACTGTTTATTCATCTCCTGTCTTTAGTTTTCCTCTACCACTTTGCTTGAACATTATCAGGTTGTGGGCCCAGGTCTACGCAAGTGAGAAATAGTGACCCGCTTTGTTTGTGTGAGAACTGAACGCGCGTGAAAAATGGCTACCGAATTGTCCATACGACATGTGTCCAAGTTTGACGGAAAAAATTTCCTAGCTTGGAAATTTCAGATATACGCGGTGTTAATCGTAAATCATCTGCTAAGCGTGGTGAACGGGACTTGAGCAAAACCTGAGAGTTTGACCTCGGAGGAAAGGAAGGCGTGGGTCAAGGACACCGCAAAGGCGATGTACATCATCTCGTCAGTGATGGAGCCAGAGAAGCTGAACTGTCTACTTTCGTGCTCAAGTGCAAAGGAGATGTGGGACAAGCTGTCCACTATTCATGGGCAATGAACAGCTACTCACAAGCTGCTGTTAATGCAACGCTTTCATGAATATAAAATTGACGCTTCAGATACGGTCGCACAACACGTATCAAAAGTCCAAAATTTTGCTTTGCAGTTGATAGATCTTGGTGAGAATATTCCGGACATTATGGTAGTGACAAAAATTCTCACGAGTCTCCCGGCTAAATATTAGAACTTGCGCACTACTTGGAGTAGTGTTGAAGCTGCAAGGCAAACACCAGAACATCTTCTGGAGCGCTTAATTGAAGAAGAAGCCTGCTGCGAGCTGACGAGAACTCGGATGCGGTGGCTCTAGCCGTGGTCACGGGACACAAAAAGCAAGGTGATTCAGGCGATTCAGAGAAAAAGAGCAGCAACAAGCAAAATGTGAAGTGCTTCATCTGTCATAAAAAGGGACATTACGCTCGAGAGTGTCGTTCAAAGAAAAGCAAGAAGTCAGAAAATTCTCGGGAATCTAACCAAGACAAGAAGGCTTTGCCCGTTGTCGCCCTTGTTGCAGAAAAGTGTCTCAGTTCGAAAGAGAGTAACGATCCGGCGTCTTCTAGGAAACTCTCCCGAGACCAGGTCAAGCAACTACTTGAGTCAGTGCCAGAAGACGTCTGGTTTACTGACAGTGGGGCATCTGCCCATGTCACGCACCGACGGGACTGGTTCATAGAGTACCGGCCGAGGAACGATGGCAGCACCATAGTTTTGGGAGACGACGGTGAGTGCGTGTAAAACGGCTGCTTGATGGCCGCTGGCTTGAGGCGCACGTCGACAACGTACTATACGTACCGAGCCTGAAGAAGAATCTGCTCTCAGTAGGACTGTGCACTTCAAAAGGTTTTCAATTCACGTTCAAGTATGAGTACGTCGAGCTAACTGCTCAGGGAACAGTTATAGCTGTAGGAGTGAGGCAGTCGAACCTCATCTATCGTATATTTCTTGGTGTGGTAAACAAAAACAGAAGCGAAGTGTATGTGAGCGAAGCGAGTCTCAAGTTGTGGCACGAGAGGCTCGCTCATCTGAACGTGAGAGCTCTCAAGGACTTAACTTCAGCAAACCTGGTGCAAGGAGTTGAGTTTGAAAAGTGTGAGGACTTTTTCTGTGAATCATGCCAGCTTGGCAAGTCACACAAGTTGCCTTTTATTAGGAGAGCTGAGCGTGTAGATAAGCCCGGTGAGATGTTTCACAGCGATGTGTGCGGGCCAATGCAAGTGGAATCAGTGCGGGGTGCTCGTTATTATGTCTTATTCAAAGACGACTGCACCGGTTATCGTTTTTTTTACTTTATTAAACACAAAGCCGACGTAGCTGATAAGTATGTAGAACTGGAAAAACTCGTGCGTAATCACTTCGGCAGAACAATGAAATTACTGCTCACAGACAACGGCCGCGAGTACGTGAACGACAGGATGAAAGATTATCTCAGCAAGAACGGCATTCGGCATGAGTGCTCTGCTCCGTACACGCCGGAGCAAAATGGCTTTGCCGAGAGAGATAATCGAACCATCGTTGAGGCCGCGCGGACGATGCTCGGGGCATTCCTAACTTCTTGTGGGCTGAGGCTGTAAACACAGCCGTATATCTTTTAAACAGAACGTCGGTGAGTCGAGCTCAGCCAAACAAGACAGCATACGAGGCGTGGTTCAACAAGAAGCTACATCTATCGCACGTCACAACGTTTGGCAGTATTGCTTCTATAAATTTGCCAAAGCAGCAAATAAGCAAATTGGATGCCAAGTCAGTACGGCTACAGTTGGTCGGATATCAGAATGACTCGTCGAACTATCGCTTTTTTGATCC